TTTTTTTTTTCTTATCAGTTCTGTCGTTCGTCTTTGTTAATTGTAATTAGTGTAAATAGTTCTCGTCTCGATAGTTCAGTTCTGTATTTATTAGTTTGTATTTTTTCGTGCTGTCAAAATGTAAATTAAGTTTGTCAGCGTTGTTTCATGTAATCGCCTTTGAGTATTGTGTAGCCTTGTTTAGTCTATTGTTTTAGCCTTTATCCGCTATATAACATCGTAGTTGTAAGTTTCATTCAGTCGCTGTTATTCCGGAGTGCCGTACAGATCTTGTAAGTAGTTACGCTTTCGTTTGTATTTTCCTGTGGTTTTTCGTAATCCTTTCGTTGCATTTTAGTTTCGTTGGGTTTAAGTTCGCATTGTTAATTCTGTATTTTTTTGTGTTATGTACAAGTGAATCGTCGAGATTAAAAAAGGTACGTATTTCAAACTGTGACGGAGTGTCAGTTGCACCATAGTTCAATGATAGGTAAATGAGGCTATGTTTTATGCGGTTTTCTGAAAAATTTTAATCAAAATACATAAGTCGTAATAGCCCCAGGAGGCAAAATTTTTATAGCGATTTTGAGACAGTTCATTAGACAGTGAGTGGAGCACCAACACTGAGATGGATAAATGCACCAAGACAATCAGCAAATGTCATATATTTTGATGCCATTTTCCGATGACAGTTAACTAAAATGATAATGGAAATATATCTAAGGCTCTAGCTGTGGCAAGATGGTATACTTTATGAAGAATACCAGCCAAAATTAGCATAATACTCAAATGCGATAAAAAATGTTCAGCCAAAAGTTTTAATATTTAAAATTGTTCATCGAAGTAGAAGTGAATAATTGTTCTAGTGTACACCACCACACAGAAACTGAAAAAAAAAATTATTTCTATAAATTAAACTCTTGATGCGTGATTATGTCCCAACGGCTGCTGGGAGGTAAATAGTACTTGTACTTCGTGATCACTCCACGGTAGCCATGAGCCATGTTTTTTCTAAGTAATCATGACTGAAAATAAGCAAAATATTAAATCCGCCAGGAGAAGGTTATTTCATGTTTAAGGTGATGTCCATTCCAACATTTCACATCACCCTCGATTGCTTCCATCTAAATCACCTTAAGCCCTGCAAAATGAACCCTTTACGGCTTACCTTGTCTGTAAAGGACCGCTTTAACTAAAAGCCTCGCAAGAGAAAGGGCGTCGTAATAGGCCATTTGAGACCAAGTGTAAAAAAAAGAGCACCGTAAACTTGCGTACCCATTGGGTGTCTAGTTTTTATTCAATATTGTTGAATGGAATTTAACATAGTTAACGACTAAGAACTTATCTGGTTAGCAGTATTTTGCTAGCGTGCTGTTAGCGTATTAGCCCTCTGTTAGCGTTTGCACAGCGTTTGCGTGTGTTCGGTAGCATTTGCAGCAACCATGTGGTTGTCGGTGCCCTGGAGAGGTCCTATCCTGTCTAGCGTTTATCCCTATCAGCGCACGCGTTGCTCTCCCACGTGCTCGCATTGTGTTGGCTGTACTATAGCGTTCCCTCCCTCCCTTCCCCAATTGCTGTTTTTTCGTTCAGGGGTTTGTATCTGGTTTAATATCTATCCACTTATTTACTTCTTTGTTTCTTGATTTTTCTTCCACTAAGCATCGGGCTCTAGTGTGACGGGTGTTTGTCAGAGCCTTAAAGCTTGACTTATGGCTGGGTTGTGGATTGAGCTGGCCAGTCGGGTGTTCTAGTGCCTTGGGTGCGACTGCGATTGCAACCCTCAGGCCCCTGGGGTACCTGAACCCTATTAGTTACCTGGGCGTTAATGCAGGATTGGTTTGGGGTCTAATGATTACCCCGTCACTATTGTATTTGTACACGAATATAGCAGACGAAAGTGCCAGGAGGGGAAAGTGAAAGGATCGACTTTAGGAAGGTAATAAAAGGAATGCAGTTGTTAATTTTTTCTTCTCATGATTGTTAGTTATGTAAGTATATCAAATAATGTGGAAAAAGGGAAACCTTTCCATTCAATATCAGCAAGAATATATATAAATAGAGGAGCTCTGAAATCATGGAGAAACAATGACAAAAATTGAAGGCAACGGCGTGAAACTTTTAAAGAGACAAATATGACTGAGACAAGTTTGCTAGAAAGCCAATTTTTACTTCTGCCAAGAACCTACTGCAGTATATTAATCCAGTAACAAGGAAATTGAATAGTATGCTTGTCCTACGAAAGCACTTCGTCATAAAGTACATAATGTATAAAAAAGTATATAAAATTAAGACTATTTAAGTCCATAGTTAACGCATGTCGTAATATTATCTTCGAACACATTTGTTTCATTGCTATTATGTAAGCAGACTTTCCAAAACCGCTCAGGTAAGACTCCAATGAAGAAACAAATTACGCCACACGAGCTGGACATGCACATCTTTTATCAAAACTTGAGGTACTACAAATTTATTTCACTCCTCTCTAGACCTAACGAATACTATTCCAGAACACTTTTTTTGATAAAAATAATCCCAATTTGGTAGTAAATGGTTGTACAACGGAAAATTTATCTCGCATATAAACCGTCTCGAGCAGACTACCTGGGAAGTTACCTTACTTTACTTACGCTCGCTGGTTTTGTGATGGTATATACCCGCGAAGCTCAATCTCCCATCTAGCTATCTACCATCACGCAACCAACCCGCGTAATTGAAAGAACTTTGAGACCGGAATACAGCACAAATTATAGTACAAGGGCCTTCTGGTTCAGATTCGATCCACCGGCGCATAAGTCAATTTGACTCGGCCAATGAAAACTCTGGAAATGCATTATATCACGCTTCGGTATTTAGCATCATGTTTCCAATACATCACATACTTTATTTTATCTGTTCGTTTAATTTCTTTTACAAGGGCGTAATATTGTAATGAACTTGATTAAGATATTGAAAAATAATATCTACAAACTCTTAACCTTTTTCGGCTTATTTAATATTGTAAAATCATCTTTAGAAACGTTTTCCAACATCTTGTTGATAATATAAATTGGATAATACAATACCCTTTTGGGAACTGTTCTCGTACGTTTATATAGCCAACTCGAACTAGCAAAATTAAACCCTTAACTCTCTCGAAGGGAACTACATCCTATTGGTAGAGACACTACATTTATATGGTTAACCTGAAAAACGTCGTTGTAGGTCTATAAAAACTTGGAACAACCTATGTGCCGTTAGGTGTTTTAAGACCAAACTCGAGTCCAGGAGAAATTTACTTTAAACTTTTCACCAGTGATATCGAGCTGCCTTTCAAGAATGTGTTCTTTGCGTGTTGCTGAACCTTTCAATTGTTGTAGTATTTCTGTTGGATTTCTAATTTTTTTGTGACAAGATCTTTTGTGTATATATTTACGAACGGTAAATAGTAGCGCTGTCTCTATAATTTCGTGGGCTCTCTTTGGGAGTTTACTGGATGTTACCCTATGAACCTATGAACAGTTAATTGAAAAGATCATTATAACCTTAATGACTTAAGTGACATAGTAAAAAGGTTATCGCAGCGTTCTGGAAGTTGTGCGAAATTGTAGAATCATGAAACATCGCTCAGAAGGGTTCCACAATGTTCTTCTTTACAACAGCAAGGATAGTCGGCACATACTTTTTTATGTCGGAAAACAAGAATTATCAAAAATTTTTTACTTTTCTTGTTCAAGCACTAAATTTGCGCAGACGTTCAAAGGAAACCCCTTAAGTCATCCTTACTTTGAACATGGTGGACCAACTTCGCTCAAACAAAGACTAATTGTTTCATTAGTTCTCTATTGCTATAAGTTTCGTAACTGGAATTAAAAAATTAATACAGTCACGAAACCCTATCTCACGGATTTCACGGATCAGTGGATGATGGCATAAGTGAAAGCAAGTTGATGCTGGTTTCGATGTTTCGAGCAACTATTTCTTCATTATTCCGAAAAATAGGCCCTGAACCACTCGATCAAGTCATATCCGCTATTGAGAAGGACTTTTCAGTTCGCAGAGTTTCACTATGCATATCAAATTGGTGGACGAATAGCAAACAATTTTTTCTTCATCCGGGGACAATGCCATACATACGACGGTGTCCAGTGGAATCTTTTTGAATCCAATCGCTTTACACTCGATTGTATCCCAGAAGAAAACCATGCCATCGATACCATAGGAAATTAGATAACGATTTTCCTTAAGAAACCGACAAAACTCTATTTTACCAAGATGGCCTTGGAGGACTCTCTTAGAGAAGTTGACATCTGATACATTTCGACGATAGACAAGAATCATGTTCGCGATGCAGCAGATAAGGAGCTGGTTGTCTGACGAGACAATACATTGACTGAACCTAAGGGAGTGGTACATCTCCTCCACATGGAGTGTTGTCGATAAGTGACAAGAGCTTTCACCATATTTCCAGATCTCAATCAGATACTTACCGCACAGTATAACCTCTTGTTTGCCAGACGAAAGGCAACAACATTCAACAACGACCAATTTCTGTGACTTCACACTACCCGAAATGAACTGCCCCACAATGTCCCACACATCGCCACGCGTAAAGCTTTGCGAATCCTGGATACAAAAGAGAAGTGAGGCACTGTCGCCTGAAAATGTAAAGGACGAGATCGTGTAACCAAATTCTTCTGTGAATACTTTGCAAGTCTTCTTACGTCTAAAATCTGTAAAGGTATATAGCATCAACTTGTTTCTGTGGTGAATGGCAATATGCCTTCCGTCTGGAGAAAGCGCGCAATTCTTCACTTGTGAGTCAGATGTGTCGAGAAGAGACTTGCAAATGAAGCTAAGGCCATCTTTAACTTCAGCGGTCTTCCAAAAGGAAACCATCAAATCAGAACCAACAGCTAAAACTGTATTAGCTGAGCAAAACGCTGCTGCGATCGCTTTTTCCACCACAGGCAACTCTACTGGTGATGCCGGAATAAACTTGAAAGGGCTAAATAGATTCGAAAAAAGTATGGCTCTCTCTTCTGTATCGCTGCGAAACAAATAGCCACACTCGTATTGTCCTGTGAAATAAATAATGTTATTGTTGGATATACTGGTCAAAACTGTACCTGTCTCGAGGGACAAAGCGTGTAACAAACCATTATCGGTCAAATAAACCAAATAGGAGTCATCTTTTGTGAATGAGAAGCGCGCGACGTTACCAATATCACGTTGCGGCGTAGCATGGTCACACGAGAGCTCTCGATTGCTTTTTCGCAAAACATGTTTGTTTCGAAAACCATCGGCCTCTAGCACCCATTTTCCTCCTGGTGAATGGCAAATGAGAACATCTTCGTTCACTATAGTCTCGACATCGTGAATCGCTTCTAGGAAGTTCGCGTAATTCTCACACTTAATTGATCCGTGTTGGAACTCTTTTACCAAGTAAGGGTCCATCTTCATATTTTCTTCCTTCAGTGCTCTCAAATACGACTCCCATACTCCTCGATAAAGCTCTTTTTCCAACTGGTCACTAAGTTTTCTTGTCAGGAGATTCACCCTAAGCCAGCGGTATTTCTTCATCAAGTTCTCTCTACCTTTGAGCACAAGCTCATTTTCCACCCATGCTGTCCAACATTGCGCATCTTTGACCTCATGGTCTCTCTCTTTATTTAGCTTTATCTCCACATCATGCGTAAGCTTTCGCTTCCTCCCTTTTAGTGTCTCGAACCTTTTCTTCGCCTCATCCAGCTCACTCATCGCAGAGCGAAATTTCTCCATTTCACTTTGTTCACTAACAGAGAAAAGCGGCGTCGAAATACCAGAAGTAAGTTGTGGTATTTTTTGCAGAAGGCTCTGAAGCTCCTCCTCAGCTGTTTGGATTACCTCAAGCTGTTGGAGTTTGTGGAATCGGAGTCTCACCCAATCCAATTCTGTACTTGTCAGCTCACGCCCACGTTCATGACAGTTCCACCGCATCCGGATGTCTGCCAGCCATCCCTTCAGCTTCTCTTCTTTTGTAGGTTTGTCTCCTATCTCATTCTCGAACTCACGCTCGCATTTAATTGGGAAAATAAATTGGCCCTTTTCACTCTCCTCCATCTCTTTCTCCCACCTACGTTCCTGCTCGAGTACAAACTTCAGCACTTGATAATCTCTGAACTCCATTACATCAATTTCGTGTCGTGACCCACGCTCTCGTTCAAGTAGGAACTTCAGCTTCTGTATCAAATTCAACTCCCCAGGATCAGGCTCCTGTCTTCGGCGTCTCTCCAGCATCCGCTTTAGTTCTTCTAAACAAGCTAACTTATTCTGCAATTCATGTACTCGTTTAACTGGCAACTTCAGCCCTTGTTTTAGCTTCAACTCCTGTTGATCGATTTCCAGACCCCGCTTTCTCCCAACCAATTCATGCTCCACCTCGCACTTTCCTTCAAGTAACTTTAGCTCTTCCCTTAACTTTGGTTCCAAGTCCTTCACCTCCAAGCTCAGTTTATCCTCCAGCTGCGCCATACATTCTCGTGTATACACCACATCAAGTTTCAGTACCCACTTCAACTCTAGTTGGGAAACTATCTCACCCATCGTATTGTGTTCAAGTTCAATTTCGGCTTCTAGCTTTCTCTCCAGCATCTGTACTTGTTTCTCTAGCTCATCCTCTAGTTTTTGCTTTCTTTTTTGCTCCAGGTCTCTCTGTTTCAGGTAGTTCCCTGTATCTCTCCTCCTCTTGTCTCTGTTTACGTTTAACTTCAGCTCTTGCCTTCTTTGGAGTAACCTCTGTGGCTCATTCTCTAGCTCCCCTGAATCTTCCTCCTCCTCCTTCTTGAGTCGTTTCAATTCACTTTCTAAGTTATGGTTCACTCTCCGCTTTAGCTCTTCAGTCAATCCCAGAACCATGTCTCTCTCCAGCAGATTCTCTAATAACTCCTCCACTTTGACAGTACGTTCCGCCGTGAGGTGTGGAATCTTTGCTGGCTTCAACTCCTCCGGCGGTTCCCACCGAAGTTTGAGGCTCAAACCGTCCTCTAGGTATCGAATAGCTGTTATTATGGCAATGTTACAAATGGAAAAATTGGAGCACGCTATTTCCATTGCCCATCTGTTAACAAAATACGACACATGACAGATGTAAGTAAACGGCTCTAACTGAACATCTCGCACAAACGCACGTTCCAACCCAGGCCTACCAGTCTTAAGATCCCAAACCTGCCATCGGAAAATAAATGGGTAAATCTCGATGATTTTTTGACGAATTGCTGTCAGGGACGCCTCTTGGTACCCTTTGTCTGTAAGTGAACTTAATCTATAACAAAAACGGCACACACTTGGAATATATGTTGACTTCACCTCAGGCTCGGCTAGGTTTGTTTTCAATGAGAGACAATTAAGCAGGCATTTAATTGGTCCCACGCCCACTAATTCCTTATGAAGACTCATAACCACATCACGGCTCTCTTCAATCTCCTTCACAGCCCACAGTGCAAGTAAGTTGCAAAGACAAGTATTTCCTGACCTATTGCATGAAAGATTCTCCATGTTTCGTTTCACCACAATGGACTCTCCATCACGAGTAAGAAAGCCCAACTGGTAAACCGTTGCATTCCACTTAAACTGAAGAAAATCCTCCACGCATTTTCGCTCAACAGAAAACCACTTGTCAAGCCGACCTAAAAAAATGAACTCGTTGTCACGAGAATACTCCAAGTGACTGATAGTATGAATGATCTTCTCGCTTATCTCAAAAGGGCCATTTTCTCTTTGTGCACTGTATGTATCAAAAAACAGAAGTCTCCGATTCTTGGCCCCAACAATTGTTATCTTATCAGATGATGTGGCAAAACAATGCATATCAGCGATTGCAGGGTCTGGGAAAGCAAAAACCGTGCATTCTAAACAAGGGACTGGCAATTTGTAAAGCAGAAACGTTTCTTGAACGGCATTGGAAGCCGTTCGTAAACAGGAGTGCAAAAGTTGCGGGCATTCAGAAAGAACAAAGGCATTTACTGACAGTACCCGCGTAATCTCTTGAAGGAGATCTTGTTTCTTTTTATCATCGACATCCAGGCAGCCACTGATAAGCTTTAAATCATGAAGCAGATGATATATCTCAGTTTTTCCAGAGAGCAATCTTCTCTCTAATAAATGATAATTTGTTAAACATGTAAACACAAGCTCCAGCCAATCTTTTCCTCCAAAGTGACACAAGAAGCGAACCGCGACGCGCATCACATAGTCCTCCAACTTAACGTCAATGGATGTGCATGGTGATGGTGATTCTTGGCCAATTGAAGAGAGGATCTCAACTACAACTTCTCTAAGATACCCACCTGCTATCTTCTTACAAATGAATAATTCGCGTGGAGCCTTTGTGTCGTTTGTCAACCAGGCGGGAACTAGATTGTGCAGGAAAGTTAATGTCTGATCAGGAGTTCGTAACACCAAAAATTGCGATACAGCATCGATCACTTGTTGCTCATCATGATTTGAGTTTTCCTTGTTTAGGATGAAGGAAATAACCGAGACAGGAAGCGGAGATGGGGCTACGATGGCACAACCAAAGAGCTTCTTGAAGACATTCTCTCCCACGTGGTCATAGACGCGGCGAACATTCTGCAGAAAGAATTCTTCAATGTCTCCCGGGAAAAGATCGTTTAAATTACTAATTTTTTTAGCAGAATCAAGAGCATCTTTTAATTCTTCCACGATGTAATATGCGTACAAGAACAATCCGTCACATTTTTGGGACACATCGTCAACCGAGATACTAACACAAGAGAAATCAATTCTCTTTTTCAAAAAGTTTTGGATATCTTGCTCATGCTGCTGATAAAAGTTCTGCTCATGGTTGCTGTTACCGGCACAAATGTTTATACAGGGGTTGTATCTCTTCAATCTTGATTGAACAGAATCCTCGGGACGACTGGTGATAAAGAACACAAGCCATTCGGGCAGCAGGGGGAAACGGTGCTTAATAAGATCAAGAAAAGCTTCCCTGGAATCGTATTGTGTCTCATCTAAGGCGTCAATAATGACTAACACTTTCTGATGACGTGGCCTACAAATACTTAATGGCTCATGTAATAGTTTAGTAAACAATTCCCTTACACCGAGTTTAGAATTATCTAACAGCATTTTAACCCCATCTTCTCCCCCTACGATTTCTTTATACTTATCATTACAAGCGCACAATTGATGGGCAACAGTTCCAAGGAGATTCCTGGGGTCGTTTCTGGTACCATCGTTATGACGGCAAAAGTATGCTGCACCCAACTGTCTAGTATCTCTCATTCGCTTTGCCAGGGCTCCGGCTATAACACTTTTACCGACTCCTGGGTCGCCAAGTAGAACATAAGCTCGAGAGTCTCCAGGATCACGGAACCAGGCGTTGAAGTCATCAAAGAACCACTGTCTCGTATCTGGATCATGTCGTTTGGCAAAAAATGTGATGTCTGACTCGAAACAGGAGATCTCTGAAATTGACATTTACGAATATGGTTCTTTCTTCTTTCCACAAATTTACATATGGCAAACGTACCAAATACATACCGCTATAAAGCAAGAAAGACGTTTTGACTATAAACACTGAATGTAAGAAACTTACTTTCTCGAAATCTGGGTAAAAAATGGTAGTGCAAGTAGCTCTAGCTTTAAGGGCAGCACTCTTTACTCAGAGCTTGATATGGCTCTCTTAAGGAATTAGCTGACAATTGTTAGAGGGTGTGATTCAGTCTATTACGAGTAGTTTCAAATGTTCATATAAAAAACGTAGCAAACAAAGAGAGGAAATATCAGGTAAAATTTTCGGCGATTCTTGCGCAGTTTGGGGAATCTTAAATCTCGTGTTCCGTCTAAAAAACCCACCCTTCTTCACCAAAAAAATTGAGAATCTTTAGCTTTACACAAAGCTGAAACGAACGGTTGCTTAAAAAAATAATAGATATGTTAGTAAGCAAATAAATATATGAGGATTTGTCTGTGAATAACAACTTACCAACAGGCACCTTGCTATGAAACGTTCCTGAAATCACATTTGCTTGGCCTTCATACCCACAGTGTTCTGTAAACAAAAAATATAACCATCACTTTCACTGTTTTTTACCTTAACTCGCATTTCAAAGTGTATCTTACTTTTTTAACTGATCTGGATAATTCACTGGCATGAGTGCTGTTTAGGTAAAGTTTCTTTGGTCCTTGCAAAAATTGATCAACAAACTAAATGTAACACCTTATTGCTGAATCGTGTGTACCGTAATCGGGTTTCACCTTATCTCGAGCAGATAACTTCTTCCTTTGTAAATAACTGACTGCAAAAACGGCTTTGCGTTGAAAATGATCATGTTTTTTTCAGCCGTGTAAGCAGAACGGCTCGTCAAACAGGATAGGGTGTGTTACTGTAATGAGCCTTACCTGTGTGGAGTTTTTCACTTGTTAAGTCCATCGTTTGAGTAGCTTGAAGAGTGGCAGAGACAGCAGAATGAGACGATGCCGTTCCAGAAGCATCTGCCATACATAGGGATAATAGGGAGAAAACCATTATCAACGCTTAATAGCTTAAAATGCTATGAAATACAAGCAGATTTCTTTAGATTAGTGTAAGCTCTCACTACTTATTAACTGACCCAGCTTTTATCGTTTAACCCCTAACTAAGGTATCAGGAATCCACACACGATTTGTCGATAATCCATCATTAAAATTAAGAAAAGCCACCATTAAACCAAAAGCACAGATCTTTGTATACAGGTACTCAATAAATCAAACGTACCCGTTCAATGGTCAAAGAAAGACATTTTACTAATGTTCATTCTGAGATTTATTATACTCACCATGACACATTCTGACCATCTTGTCAACAAGGAATTTACATTGATTGGACCAGCTGTATTTGCTCTCGTAGCAAGTACGTAAAACTTTAGCCTCCTGAAGTCGCTGCTGCCTGTCTTTAGTCCAGATGTTTTTCATCTCTGCAGCCCATACCTTGGGATCCTCCGAATTTATCACAAATGATGAGCCAAATGGTGAGCGATATGGTGTTTGACTTAGGGCTTTTCCAAATCCAGAGTTACTACTGACCAACACAGGCACTCCAGCCGACAATGCTTCTAGACCAGTTAACCCAAACCCTTCTGTTCTCGAAGGCATCAGTGTAAGGTCAACTTCATAGAACAATTTTCTCAAGCTCTCTCGGCAATCAAGGAAGCTTCTTATCTTCAGGCGGCTTTTAGGAACACCACACTTTTCGAAACGTTCTTTTATCTCTTCGTGCTTTCCTTCAGGCGCTCCAACGAAAATAAGACGGGCGTTGTCTAACTCGGCGACAGCACTGCCTGCGATGTCGAATCCTTTTAATTGAAAGTCTTCGGCATCCCCACGACCAAACACTAGAACACTGCACCACTCCCTCTCGTTGGCAGCGTGTTCAATATTCACAAATTCATGAAAAACACCAGGAGTGATGTCAAGGATAGTTTGATCTTTCTTGCACCAGCGAAGATATGAACGGAAGGCCTCGCTAAGTTTTGGTCCAACTCCCACAACAAAGTCAGCCATTTCACAAAGTTCAACCTCTGCTTTGTGCTTCTTCTCACCCGTTGAAATTGGGTTTTGGTAGGACTTAAACATGCCCAGTTCCTCTGGGTCGGTGTGAACGACCTGAACCCACTTACAGTTATGCAACTTCCTGATAACTTGTGCCTGACGACCAAGCTTAACACCATGTCCAACAATCACATCAACTTTCAAGTGATCTGGTGGGAAGCTCAGCCATTCAAGCTCATCATATCCAGGCCGCCTTTCTGCTTTCACAATTCTAATTTTGTGGTCAAGGGCTGCTTGCTTGTCCTCTTCGCTGCATTGTGGCATAAACAGAGTAATTTGAACCTCTGGCCATTTAGCAAGTTCTATGGCCAATTCCCTGTTAATGGTGGAAAGTCCTCCTTTGCTTGATCCCCACTCTGACGCCAAAATTGTAACTTGTAAGATCTTTTGTGACGTGTATGAAAAGTCATTTTCTTCTGATGACCGAAAACAGGATGCCATTTTAAAAGTGGCACACTCCTAAAAGAAAAAAAACAATGATTTCCCGGCACTTCATTTTTAAAAGCAAATGAAAAATGGGAATGACATCAGATGCTGAGCGAATAATATTTTCAATGTGAATTTATCACTTTGAAAACAGTCAACCAACAATTGCCCATTTCCAAATTACCTTTGGCCTCTTTTTCAAAGTGACTCCTTGTGTTCATCCTTTGAAATGATATAAAGTTTTCATTCATATGCAAATTAAACTCATTTTCACAACAAAAGAGGTTGAGCACCAGGCCTTGTTTTGAAAAAGAGGCCAAACGTAATTCAGAAATGGCCTATTACAACTTAAATTAATTACAATGTGGCTTATCAAAATCCTAATAAGTGTGTACACTATACCATTGGAATGATTACTAGACAGTTTCCATAAAAGGCTAGTACTTGCAATAATCTTTTTCATATATCACATTACTCCAGATAAAGTTTTTTAAAAGATTCCAGATTCCTCCTTTAATTTTGTCACCTTTGACCTACCATGAGTATTATTCATACTGGCAGGTACAAGGATATTAACTGGAAGTGACTTCACTCCTACCTGCTTTAACCCTTTAACCACTGAGAGTGAGTCTAAGCATTTAATTTCTCTTTGCAATATCAGCCCTGAATCAAACATGTCAGTCCCAAACATAAAGGCAATGATCATCAACTAAAGAATTCTTTGATTGTTACACAAATTCTCCTTGTCGGCACCTTAGGAAATTTGTAGAGAACAGTATGGAGGAGAATATGCATACTGATGTTGGGTGTAAAGGGTTAATGACTGTGTAGTTCAAGCTTACTGTGAAACACAGAATGCAATGAACACTGGAAATACTTATAGAATATTTTTGTGGTTATTACAAAGAGCTAACATAAAGGAAATGATCATCAACTAAAGAATCCCTTGATTGTTAACCAAATTCTCCTTGTCAGCACCCCAGGGAATATATAGAGAACAGTATGGAGAATATGCATACTGATGTTGGGTGTAAAGGGTTAATGACTGAGTAGTTCAAGCTTACTGTGAAACACAGAATGCAATGAACACTGGAAATTAATGGAATACTTTTTGTGGTTATAACAAAGAGCTAATCAAGCATGAGAAAACTGAACTGCAAACAGCATCAATATTTGATTGGTGGTTATGAGGTTTGCTTGTGTGTCCTGAACTTTATGGTTATTAGACTGCACTCATTTTATTTGTCAAAGTCATATATGTGCTCCTCTCCCCTAAGAGGTGGGCTTTTAATTCAAGGAAGGTCATCAAAATGAAAACTCTGTGAGAATTCCTCCTTGAAAACTAGAAGGTGCCTCTTCAAGGTGCCTTTACAAGGAAATACAGAAGTTATTACATACAGAGAAAAAGATTTTAAAGCACAGGACCTCCATTTCAGAACCACTCAAAATCCCATACAGTCGTGTTGTATTCTGTCCGTAACTATGTCTCTTTAATCACATATAGGATAACTAACAACAAACGAATTCAATCGACATCCCTCGCTCGTCACTCCACGTGTCATTACCTCCTTTGGTCATGTGACCGACACAACAAGTCGTAAACAGACAAACAAGTCAAAGACAGCAATAATACATGCATAACATACATACATATGTAACAAGACAGAATGAGCGACCGCGCAAGAATGAGAGGGATTCAAAGAATATACTTCTAAAAATACTTTATTAAAGCCAAACTGATAAATGAATAAACAAATAAACGGGAATAACTAGCAGGATACAGTAACCCGCGAACAGAGAAAGTCTTCGTCTTAGATTACAAGTCATCCCATGTAACTTGAAATAACCAACTGAAGGACTAACTAAAACAGCCTCTATTCATGTGAAATGAACAAACGTAGGAAAACATTTTAAAGATTCTACAACTTGCTGCCAAAACTTCGCCCTTCCAAATTGCAGCGCGCGGTAAGGACATCCTGTACTTGTTTCACTCTCAAAATGTGAGAATTATATCAAAACGAACAAGATAATTTTCCGAAAGGAAATTAATTAAAACGGCGCCTGAGAAATCATGTCTTACAAGTAGGTGTAACTTGCGCATATCTGTATAACACCATGATATACTGCATTCCAAAACGATCACTAGGTCACATCCTAAGAGTAGAAAGATTATTATGATAAAATATAAAACAATACTGAAATATAAGAGCCTCTAGTTTATTCAAAAATATGTATCTAGTGACTGTCAAACATACATAAACTTTATAAATGTGTCCTGAAATATCTAGCTGATAGGGTTAAGAACCCCTCTACTAATTGGGGACACAATAACCTATCAACTATTTTCGAATTGAAACTATTTAAAAAAA